ATTTCGGTAAGTGTAGATTTGTTAGTTTTGAAATAGTACTCGATTGTATTGTAGATCGAAACCAAATGAAGTGAAATAAAAAAATAGACAAACGAGATAAGAGGAAATAAAAATGACAGCACTCCTCTTCCTTAATTTAACACATTAAACCAACCTATTATCCCCTTAAAACATTACCCGGTTTAATCGGTGATTGTTTTTTTTCCTTTCTTTCATCTACCCGGTTTAATCGGTTAATAATAAAAGAATTGAAAAAATTAAAACAACTACAACACAAAAATATGTAAAACTAAAAAAAATATATATATATATATATACTAAGTGATTTCACTTACTGTAAAATAAGAACATTATGCTATAAATTAAATTTCACTACCACAAACTATTCCATGACATTACTATTAAGCATACAAAACAAATATTAAAATTTATAAATACATATCAATATAAATTCATAAACAACCAGTTACATATTTTAATAAAAAAATGAAAAAAATATTACACCGCGGGTCAAAATCTAGTATATTACTATTGTTGCAACCTCTGTACAAATAGTTAGTTAATTTTGTAAAATTTACAAAATATACTTTGAATTTTCTTCATGAAGACTAATTTATTATACTACAAACTCTATATCAGTATGCATTACAATCACCAATAATGATGGTTGCTAACAAAATTTTGGCCAAAATTTTTTGCCACCACCATTATTTTTTATTGTTAAAAATAAATAAATAAGGATAATTGCATTGCCAAACGTTTATTAGAGGTTCTCAAAAAAAATAAAAAAAAATAAAAAGGTCTCACGGTCATGACAACAAGATTAACTAAACTACAAATCATACTTCAATCTATTAGAAGAAATGGTCTATAATTCTTAATCTAAGAAAATTAAGAACTGTAACTTAGCTTTGAAACTTCAATAGCTGGAATGCCTGAACCAAATACATGCATAGTTCATGAAAATCTTTCATGTCCATAAATCTAAGATTTAACACTTTCCATGAAAACAAAAACTCTAAAAGCTGTAGCAATAGTTATGTTTGACATTTAGCGGGTATGGCTAAGTGGTTATGTGTTCCAAATTTTTAGGTAAGTTAGCACAAAGCGGAGAATGTTCATGGACTTAGGTTGAAAGTCCATCTGCGTTTGCTTTCTAGACAAGACTTGAAACCAAATGGAAACAGATGAGGAAAAAATTGGGATCCGATTACACGCATGATCGATTTCTAGACCGAATTATAATAGAATAAGAAAACTAGCTAGGGAGTTGAATGAGCCATATATTGTGGCTAGAATTAGTTTCATCACAATCAGAAATTTAACTATTGGTGAGGTGCAATGATAAATTAGTTACATAACATAACACTTACCAGTTAGGGACGCATAACCATATTCATTGGGATTCCAAGACATCACATTTATATGCCTCAAAACTCCATAGTCTCATTCTACCAAAACCTTGTCGCATTTCTAGGTTTGTACATGCACCAAACCAATATCATCTATGAGTAAAAACCAAAGTACAACACCTTGCACAATTTAGCCTAAATTAAAAGAATTATTGTTTTCATCAATTTCTCTTTTAGTTCAATCCTAAATTATAACTCTCTAGAAGATCCAACTTAATACCTGACCTAGCATATGAGGTTGGTCCTCATGCCTACTAGATTTGGTTTGAGGTTCGAGATATTAAAGGCTTTAGAGAGGATAGACAAGTCAAAAATGAGAATTACAATGGTAGTAGTTATCCTTCTTTTATTAGCTGAAATGTTAGTCTAATTAGTTGACACATCGTGAACATGCCTTATAGCTCATGTCTTATAGCTTATGACAGCTAGCTTATGCACCTCACCACCTCGGCTATAACATAACTAGAGCATAAGAAAAGTGACATGAAGAGCATGACTATACATTTTGAATATATGTAACTTATAGATATAACAAAACTTAATGTCTAGATCCGCAGCAAGTTATATCAAGGAATGTTGTGGTAGGTTAAGAAAACTCAGCCCGATCCAAAGCCGAAATAAGCCCACCCGCCAAAAACCCGAATTAAAATAACCCGAATGGGTTTTGAATATTGTGGGTACCTATATCCAAGGAAATGTCTAAATTAACATCGACTCCATATGCATAGTAGACACCAAAAATGAAAGAGTCTTTGAATGTTTATATCCCCAAAAGAAAAAAGAATTACAAGGCTTTGATCTTAATTATAGATAGCCACAAAAGTTGTAAAAAAAGCAAAAGGGGACCTAACAAAATCCAGCATTAAATTGCATTGAGCTCATTTTGTGACTTGTGACTTTGTGAGGAAGAGAAAGAAGTATCTATCTATCTATGTTGACAGATATTGGCTTTTGGACATAAGTCGTTTCACGTACGACATAATCTTCTTTTTTTTCTCACTCAATTCCCAATGTCAAACAAATCTTATCGAATGAATGAATGGTTCCACAAAATATTTTGGTAACTTTGTATTTGTCCTTTGTACCCAAAATGAATCTTTCTCTCTCGCAGCTACATTCCATCCACGTGATCTTTTTGGTTCATCCAAGGAACGAATTAACACAGCCTAGCTAGGGCATTAAACTTCTAATTCAATCAGTTCACAAAGCCCAAAAACATCAATTGTCGATTGGCTAAGGAGGCTTTGCTCGTAGATTCCAAAATCACTATAGTACAGTAGTAGTTAAATTAGCCTAATTCAACTAAAACATGAAGAACAAATTAAAGAAAGAGAACTATAGTAACAATCCCATAAATATAAATAAAAGTAAAAATTATTGAAACATCCCAAAACTCAATAGAGATTTACTCACACATAATCAAGGTACATGTGATTATTGTAGATAGAAGGGACATGAGTTTGGGTCCCAAAAGTTTTAGAAATCTAAAGAACAAAAACTACAAAAATAATAAGCTTAATTTTTTTAACACCCCGAGGTTCACAAGCCGAACAAATCGATTTCGAAGTGTCCTTGGAGTTGGTGGTACCGACGGCGACGAGTGTTAAAACTGAACCAATCGATCGTCATCTTCTATCTTTTATCGTTTTGACACATTTTCCTCTATTTTTCTCTCAAATTCTTCTTTCGGCTCCAGGCTCTAATAGGTCGATAAACCTATAAAAACTAAAAAAAAAAATCGAAGTCTAACTTATTTAAGGACATATTTGCCGCCTCATCAAGTCAAAATGTCTTTTCTTTACTTGTTCTCTTCACTTTCTCCTTTAGGAACTTCTTTTAATCCACCTCACCAAGTCCAATTTCACCACATATTGAGCAATGAATTATGGGTCTCTCTTATCATAGTCCTTTCACTTCATGCTTCTTCTTCTTCTTTTTGTTGGCAATTCCCTATGATTATTTCTAAAATAAATTTCTTTCTATTATAATTTCTCCTAGGAAGTACATGATTTGGTGCTGCAGTTACCAACCAACCTATGACTATCATTCATCAGGTCGTTCATTCGACATCCAAACTAACATATATGCACCATATGCATTGTCACAAGGAACTCCAGTACCTGTAACTTTCAACATAAACAAATTAACTACTCCATCCTACTTGAAAATTTCCATCTATATACACCTCAAATACCCCCTTGAGTGCACATATATGTTGTACATCAATCCACATATTTCTTCTTCAATGCAACAATCTTAACTTCACACTATGTAAATCTCACGTAATGGTTTCATAATTTTCTGTTTCCCTTAGTTATTCTCTCCATTATTTGCCTCCTTATTGGCTCCAACATTGGAATCAACGACTTTTCTCCTGATTTGGTAATGGTAAAGTCAGTAGTTTTGTTATTAACATCTTCACAACAGCCACAAAGGTGTGAATAAATCCAAAACAAGATGATTTATGCTCAAATGAGCTTATTAAGATTGATTAAACTTAGTTATTAGATAGCTCATGAAGAGCTTTATTCAAATGCAAAACTAAAAGATAAAAGGAAATAACTTGAGTTTGTCACCAAGAACACACAATGATTCAAAAATGAATTTTCATAAGATTGAAGAGGGAGAGTTGTTTTGAGACAACTCTCAAATGTTACACACTAAGTTTTCATTACATGAGTATATATAAAAAATTCATCTTGGTAAGAACCCTAGTTACATGAAATTACATTGGGCTTGGGTTTGTCTTTCTTGTGGACTCTAATAAATCGTTTTTTTTTTTTTTTTCAACATTATTAGATTAACAAGACCCGATCCATAGTCAAATTCCTATGACGCGAGATAACGCGATTTAGTAGAGTCGAAGGTGGAATCAAATGAACTTAACCACTGGATTAAAGACACATCTCCTATTAACTAAAATTTTAAGACAAAAGATCAAAACGAATATAGAAGAACAATCGGACCAAATACAAAAAGATAGTGTTTTAATTTGTCTATCCCACAACCTCGAAAACCAATGCTCTTTCACATCCATACTAACATGTGTTTTTGGCATTACATTCTTTTTTCCACGACACAATTCGTCTACTATATTTGTATTTTGACCATTCCAATATCTCTCTCCTTCACGTTGGTCGTCTCTAATCTCCACAAGCTTCCTTATCTTCTCCTCATCAAATAAATGAAAAAGAGATTTTGTCATATTACATAAAAACCGGAAAAATACTAATAAAAATCATAAATCATAAAAAAAAAAACATACAACCCCACTTTAATGTTATAGTCTCAAGACCAAACTCTAATAATAATAATATTATTATTACCATCATTTCATATCCTTTGAACCCCTTTTTCTTTAATTTTTTCTTTTTCTAATTTGCTTTCTTCAATCAATCATCATGGAAACACATCTACAACAGGTGAAGAACAGTTCTCTTCAAACTTTTTCTGAAAAGCAAAACCCTAAACAACAAGAAGCTTCACCAATATCATCTACTTGTTCTTCTCCTTCTCATGACTTCTCTTTCACTATCTCTCTTCAGCCTCTTTCTTCTTCTTCTTCTTCTAAACATATCAACTCTACTCTTAGAGGTCCAAACAAAACGACGTCGTCTTATCAACAAACTGATCCATTCGCGGTAGACTTGTCCCCGGCCGATGAGATCTTCTTCCACGGCCATCTTCTTCCTCTCCATCTCCTTTCTCACCTCCCTGTCTCTCCAAGAACTTCAACCAGCTCTTTTAATGATGGATTTACCCTACCTATCAAACCTGACCACCCCACCACAAAGAACAACAACAACATCAACATTGAAAACACTATTGCCAGCAACATCAGTACCGAGGCAAAGAACGACGAAAGCCCCGGGGATAAAGCTGAAGAACTCGAAGGTGAGAATCGTGTAAAAACCAAACCCATTAAGTCATTTTCTCTCTTTGGTTTATCAAAATGGAAGAAAGGCTTTGAAGTTCAAGAACAGCAACAACAAAAGGCCAAGAAACCTATGAGTTTAGACCTAAGTCACGCAGTCAAGAAATACATAAGGATGCTGTTTCAAAAGAGAGGAAACGGAACACAGTTCAGAAACACAAGACAAACTTCATCTTATTCTTTCTCATCTTCTCTTATTGGTCCGAACGGGAACAACAAAACAATGATTAACAACAAGAGAGATCTGATAAAAGGAAGAAGAGGAGAGTTGTTCTCAGCTCCAGCTTCAATGAGAACATCTCCAACTAATAGTGGTCATCTTCGTGTGTCCACGGCTGGACTCTCATCAAGCTCAGCGTCAACTTCATCATCGTCTAGTGATAGTACCATGGAAGAGTTACAAGCTGCGATACAAGCAGCCATTGCTCATTGCAAGAACTCAAGCGCCGTTGATCGTGATGATAAGGTTAAGGATTCTTGATTTGGTTTTTTTTTTGTTCTTTTGTCGTTAATATGTTTGTTCTTTCTTGTCATAGGGAAGTAAAAAAAAAAAAAGTGTTAGTGTGTGACATGGAATTTTTAAAATTTTACAGTAGAGGTAAATTATTTTATTACTGTTGTATAGACAAGGAGTTACTGTTATTATACTATTGTCTCTCCATAATTCATTTTATAATTAAAAAATAATAATGATGATAATAATAAAGAGATTTATTGAAAAGATTGGGCAAGTTTTGTTAGAATAATAGAAAGATAACAACAAGTCCAGGCTGGTTTTTATTTGTTTGTTTCCACAAATTGGGGATGACCATAAAATGAGTGGAGTTTTACAATTTGAAAAGCAAAACAAGAGATGGGGTTTGAGATTGGTCCTCTTAGTTTACTTGTCTTTCCGACAAAACCCAACGTAAACAGTTTTGTGGTAGAGACTAGGATAAACATAAAAAGGAACAATTAGATTTTATCTTTTTACATTTACACTATATCACTAGTCCTTAACTAGCCTTGGAAAGAAGTATTTCATTAAAAGCATAACAAGTGAATAAAGTGTTACAACTAACTTCAACAAGTCCACATATTTGGTATCGGTAGAGGTGTCAAGCGGGTCACTAATCCGTGGACTTGACCCAAGTAATACAATGGCATGGCGGATAAAGACACATAATTTTTGTGAAAAAAATAAGTTTTCCGGAAAAATTTATACATGTCGTGGGTTTAAACGGATTTGGCCCACGGATTGGCGGATTAGTTACCGAATAGAATAACTGGTTTGATGATTCAAATCCAACCTAGCATTTTTGGATAGGTTCCGGATTGGGATTATGGATTCGGTTTCTTGCCCTACAATTTGTTAAATTAATGAATACATTTATAGATTTAATAAAGTAATTCCACCTTAATCTTTGCTCTGTTTTGTTCTTGCAAAATTCTTTGATTCAAATTCCTCATAACGAAAACGATATGAATTTTATAACGAATCTTCCTCAAGAAAAATAAATTAAAAATAAAAATCTTTTTCCAGCTCTATTTTTTGGATAGAACACTTGGAAAACTTTTTATTAACAAATTTTAATCATTTAGTTCTTTGGGTCTACCTACATAAATAACCTTATTATATAGGCAAATACATCCTCCAATGAGTGTAATACCATACACCATATATATCGAATTATTGATTAATATTTGATTAAATATGTGATGTTGATATTTCCATAACACCAACTTTGAACTTATACATCACGTTTATATTTTTTTCTCTTCCACGATCTCAATGTCAAAATAAATGTAATTTTCAAAAATATCTCATCCATTGTAACCTCAATCAATCTATAATTTTTATAAAACACTCTTAAAATCATTAAAATTGATAAGATAAATGTTAGAAACTATCTTTAAAACAAGTAATGATCAATACATAATCATGCATTAAAAGGCTAATCAAACACATATTTCATAAAATTTTAAAGATCAGTTTCCTCCATTTGTCTAACCAAAAACTATTTTCATCAATTTCTCCTTTTAGAGACAATCAAAAGTCCATATATATGTAAGAAATACTCGATCAAGTTATCATGTATGTCCTTCTTCCCTTGTTAGAAACACAAGGCATCCTCTTAATCTTTTTCCCTTACAAAATATTTAATTAAAGAGATATAATACTAATTGAAATTAGGAGTGTTCAGCTCGAATAAACCGATCCGAACTGAACTATTAGATTCAAAAACTAATCTACATTCATTTTTCTATATTTGACAAACCAAATCTAAATCTAAAACGAAGAGAAAAAAAAGGAAAAACTCGGTCGAAAACCAAATTTTGTATAGAATTAAGGATTCAATTCACAACCACTAATCTAAATCAAAGCCAAAACATATGCCAAACACTTTATTACAGATCAAGTTTTAAGCTATCAACCATTATTCATAACCTGAAAAGTATTTCATTAAAAAAACACATAAAAAGTTTAAACTAATCAACTAAACTTCAACACTCCTACATGATAAGTCAATGAAAACACTTCAATTGATTCGGACACGGGCAAGAACCCTTGTCACAAACCGATGGAAGAGCCACATTAGTCGCAGTTGAGTGTTGATCTTTGTTTGCATGAATGGTATCTTGTTTTTATTAGGCTAGTTTTGGAAAGCTAGAACAAAACCACAAAAAAGCTTGCAATGATTAAAAGCTTTTACGTACGTAGGACAGGTTCTATAGAAACGTCACACTAATAAGCTAAGCATAGGTTTGTTTTACGTGGCAGGCGTTATGAGACTTTATATGAACGTTTACCGATTTTAGAGGCGGTCACCAACCAGAGTAAATGACTGCTAAACACAAAAAGCATGATCACATGGTCATATCATCATTGACTTAACTGGCCACAACTCGTGCACATGATGATGGGGTCTTACGCCGCCGACATTTCATGATCCTGTCGATGAAACTACCCATTCTTAGAATGAGAACACAAATATTTATCGTTGTTTCATAATCAAACTAGAGTTCATCACTTTGTAATTCTTTCCATTGCATTTGGAGTGAATGGTTTAGTTCTGAAACACGAATTTGTAAAAGAGTGTTGAGTAAGAACTTGAGCTCAAAAGTGATAATGTTTAGCATCGGCTAAACACGAATTGGTAAAAGAGTGTTAAGTAAGAACTTGAGCTCAAAAGTGATAATGTTTAGCATCGGCTATGTGTTATTATCCTGATTTGGTTTGGTGAATTAGGATACAAACATGTTGTGAAATATTCTTAAAGCTCATCTGATTATGCTCCCAATTCTGAAATTATGGGGTTTGGATTATTAGTACTCATTTTTAGATGATTTATGAATGCTAATGAAGTACACTGATTAGGGACAGTGCGAAAAAGAAGAACAAAAGTGAAAAATGCTCGGAACTTGGGGCTTGTTCGCGTGTGGTTGAAGGAGAAAGAGGGGCTCGTTCATCAGGTCTGCGGCTCGGAACTTGTCTGGAAAAGTGTTTTCAGAGATGGTTTTAGATAAAGCCATGAACGGAAGTTGAGAATGTGAGAGTCGTTAACAGAAACGTACCTCGAGATATCGTTTCAAAAGTGTGGTGGTGCTGTAATTGAATCCCTCGAGAGGTGTTCCTTGAGTGCGTGATGAATGAAGCTGCTTCCTAACCTGAGTAGCCAGAACTTTTCCAAGCTCAACTCCCCACTGGTCGAACGAATTGATACCCCAAACAAAGCCTTGAACTGCAACTCTGTGTTCATAGATTGCCAACAACTGAAAAACAAAACATATGCATAAATGTCAGCTTTCTATAGCAATGACCCTCTGATATCAAATCTTAAGCCTGTACTGAAAAACCTGAAATAGAGACAGACCTGGCCAACACTGTAAGCAGTCAATTCTGGAAGTAGAAGACTAAGAGAAGGTCGATTGCCGGAGAATGTCTGTGGAATATACCAATAGTTTCTACCCGAACGTTATTATACTGAAGAACATCAAAGTCTTTCTTTCGAACATATATCCAAGACCAGATTTTACCTTGTGGGGAATGAGATTTTCTGAAACGTTCTCTTTCTGTAACTGTTCCGGTGTCTACACAAGGCAAAGTCAAAGAGTTTGTTATAGAACGGAACACTAGTCATGCATCAGTCTCTATTTATCCTGCATGACCACAAATGTAATGTCTGTCTTACTTTTCCATATGCAAGCGCATCAGGCTGGGCAAAAAAGTTGGACATTAGCTCGTCATGGTTACTGACCATCTCTCCTGTGAATCAAATTTCTAAATTAAAGAAAGAGAATTCATAAAAGAGTTGAAGTCAAATTTACTGTAACAGAAATAGAAATGCCTACCCTTCAGGTACACAGGTTGCTGACTCTTCACGATACCAATGAAATCACAAGGGATTACGCGTCCCTAAAACGTCATTAAGAAAGATTTAATGCATTTGTCATAAGCCCGACCAAATTCCCTGTGAAATCAAGCTATGTTAGCAAGTACCTGGTGAATTAGTTGGTAAAAGCTGTGTTGACCATTTGTTCCAGGTTCACCAAAATCAATCTCACCAGTTTCATACGAGAGAGGCAGACCATCAATTGAGACTCCCTTTCCATTACTCTCCATACTAACCTGAGATTGAAAAAAAACTACTCCGCTAAGAACATAGTTTTTAATGTCAAAAATATATATGATAGAGCAAACATTTAGTTGACATAAGGGAGACCCAGTTCACATGCCTGTTGAATGTGCGGCGCAAATTTCTCAAGGGCTTGAGAGTAAGGTAAGATGGCCTGAAAAAACAAACCGATGTAATGGAGGCTGAACATCTTAATCTGAGAAATAAATTTCAGCTTTAAAGGAGTCAATTCTTACCCTGGCAGGATATCCAAGAAACGATACATTCCATACACTCAACAACCCTAAAAGCACCTGAAATCATCGGAAGTCACAAAATCAACCTCTCACACTGGCTTGACTACTCTAGATACTAACTTATGGATATATCTATTGAAAATTAGTGGAAATGTTTGCACTATACATATTGACGAAGGATGATTATCAAAATAAAGCACTCACGGGTATATTCTTCTCAAATGGTGTGGACTGGAAATGCTGATCAATGCTTGACGCTCCCTTCAAAAACCTACAATACAAAAAAGAAAAGGCTAAATATCGGCTGCGTCTTTAAGAAGGATTCTTTTGGATTTGGAAACATGGAAAATTCCTTTTAAAATAAACGGGAATACAAGAGAGGAAGAAATCATTCAGACAAGGGCAACATAAAACAGAATATACATCAATATCTTTCCTGAAGTTTTATAGTTAGAAAAAGTACATCTGCAAACTTGTGTAAATAAATCTCTGAAGACAGATACGTATTACTTTCTATGCCTACGACATTCTATGAGAATGGATAATAAATAGAAGCTACCGTACTTCTCAACCACAGGGAAGCCATACTGCAGCGACAAAGGTAAGACTCCAACAGCACTGCAAACTGCAACAGAGTTCCAGATAAACTAAGTAAATGAATATGGGAGAAAAATGAGTCCAACAAGTAAACAGAAAAGAACTTACCACTGTACCTGCCGCCAACCCAATCCCAAAATGCAAATGCATTGTTTGGGTCAATACCGAACTTCTCCACTAACTGTTACCCAAAACATTCAGAGTTTAGACATGTTTCTGTACAATCTGTATATGAAGCATGTTGAAGGAAGTAAAAATATACCATAATTCCTCTAACATAGAGACTACCATTGTGAATTTAACCTAGTAGATTATTCAGTTTCCAAAAATATTGTATTAACATATCCATTAATCAACAAAGACTTAAGTCTATGTTTCTGGGTCTAACTTTTCTAAGAAGGGCAATAAAGAAAATAAAGTCCCCAAAAGAAACTATGGCGAATGCATACCGCAAGATTAGTGCTGACAGCAACCATGTGTTTTGCAACAGCCGAAGCCCTGTTAAGTTATCCCGTGTTAGATGAATGCTGTTCATTGACAATAACCAAAGCATGGGTAGAATAAAGAATAACAGAAACTACATTTTGAACAAAATTTCTTGTAAATGTAAAACTGTAAGAGCTTTCCTACGGTGATAATGTATACCGTCTACAATAACGTGTCACATATACTTGCTCTAGACATGTACAAAGAGGAAATACAACATACACAAAAGTATTTGTGCATTCATTACTACACGACTGAGAGCAGCCAAAAGGAGGAGTCGAAGAGAGAGACACAACTCTAGTCATGATAAGTGTAAGTATCTATCAAAAAACAGATTATAATGCCAGAAATACTAACCCAAGAGCAGTTGTAATCCATTCCCTCAATGTCCTAGCGTTTAGCATTGTTTCAGCAGTTGTAAATGTCTTTGAGACCACCACAACTGTTGTTATAAGTATCCTCATGATTATTTAGAGTAAAGCCGATAAATTAAAATGATAAAGGTGTATTTATTGATAGGTTTGAGTATGAACCTAGGGTGGTTTCTGGATTTAGGCCATTGCTATTTCTCGCGACATCGACAGGATCAATATTTGCCAGGCTGCAAAAAAAGAAGCACTTCATATTGAGGTATTAATATAGACTGCCAAAAGACAAAAAAAGAAAATATAGCCAAGAACACAATCAAAGATGAGTAACTGATGTCAACAAGTTAAATAAAGCCTCCTCTTACTAAGTTAACCAAAATTTAGATAAATAAGAAGTATGTGACACAAGTGGTAAAAGAACACATAATTAGAAATTTTCTGTGGACCTTCAGGAGAAAACTCAAGCAGTAGTGAAAAGCATATCAATGAAGACAAGCATTCATTATACTACCAAAGCCTTCAGAAAGAAACACAGAAAGAATATGTAGTTCTTACAATCGCAGCTGGCGTCCTTTAGCACACTCTAGAGCTTCAGGATCTGAGAATAACATGCATATAAAAGCATAAATTTGAATTACAACAAGCTTGAAAGAACACTAGCAAGAGGCTAGTACCAAGACTAGATGTAGCCACCTGTTTGAATAGCCGTGTGCACAAACAGTGGACCTAAGAAGCTGCCACCGATACCAACTGCAACAACATCTTTCAATGGTTTGCCCGTAGCTCCAACCTGTCAATTAGTGCGGAAAACTTAACAAATGGAGATGAAAACTCTAGAGGTAGGCTTTCACAAATGACATCTACAAATTACCCATGAACCAGAGCGAATTTTCTCAGAAAATTCCTTGATCTTATCTAAAACGTTCCACACTTCTGGAACCACATTCTTTCCATCAGCCTTAATAACTGCATCTTTTGGAGCACGGAGCGCAACATGAAGAACTGACCTGTTCTCCGTACTGTTAATCTGAGGAACACATTCAGAAAAGATAAAAATCAGACACTAGAGATGAGGAAAACGTCTATGTCAATGTACCAAAGGAGATAGAAAATAAATCTCGAGAAAATAAATCTCTAGCAATAGAAATGTCTTCATTTATATTATCTAACATGCAACACTACAAGAAAAGGTTTCAAATGCTAGAATCAAAATGAGATTCACAGCTAATTTCTCCTTGTGCAATAGAAACATCTTAATATACATATTGTTGTCCATGAGGATACTCACATGCTCTCCATTGAACATACGGCTGATCTTCTCTGTCAACTGTGCAGCCTGCATATAGAAAACAAATGATTAACAATCTCCAAGTGAAATACACACACAGTTCTATGAACTCCACTGCAGTTCTATAAAAATCAGTCAATCTAACACCTCCCCTCACCTTTGCCAAGTTCAAAAGCTTGTCCATCGTCTCTACAGTTGCACGCTGTCGAGAATAATCCAACAGAATCCCATCAAATTCCCTGATAAAAATCACACCACAAAGAAATAGCAACTCATGAGTGCACAATCACTTGAAGCAACACACAAATAAAGATATAACCTTAAAGCCAAAAGCAAAACCAACACATACATCATCATATACTGACATCTATTAGCATCACTCATCAACTCACGCAAATGAGTCTTGTTAATATCTTCTACATGTCCCTGCCAAAAAGAAATTTCAAAAACGATTCCAAAATCAAACATCTCCAAACAAAACTAAGAACAGCGAAAGATCATAAAACACTAAATATACCTTCAAAGCCTTCCAGGCTTCGGTATCACAAATCAAAGCCGATGATGACGTCATTTTCTGGTAATCAGTCGTCATCAACAACATCAACAACAACAACAACAAAAAAAGTCAAATCGGAAACCTTATGAACGGAATCAAACGGTACAAGCTTTGATTTAGTATTGAGGAATCGTGATAAATTGAGAGAAGAGGAATTAAGAACGAACCTGAGGATCTTCGAAGATGAGGTGAAGAAGAAGCTTCTGGAGAAAAAAAAAAACTTTGGTGAGGAGGACTGAGGAGGAAGACGATGGAGAAAAATGGAAAAAGCGATAGGGAAGCGTGTGAGAGCTGAGGATATGACACGTGTCGGTGGAAGGTTCTGCGGGATGCAACACGCGACATAACGGTGTTATATAAATGGTGGTTTTTAATTGGATTAAAGAAACTTATATAGTTTTATTGAGTTTTCTATAATACAAAAACATTAAAGGGAAAGTCAAATATTATTTGAGAATTTTATGGCATGTTTCTCTTTTGCTAAATTCGAATTTTTTTTAGACAATCTGAAGAACTCAAATGAAATCTTGATCATTTTTAAAATTTAGATATCCTATAGTTAATAAATATTGTGAAGTGTTTCTCAAGGACTTTTTTGTTAATTTCTTTTCTTTTTTCTTTTTTTTTGTCATAATAGTTTTGTTTTATTGTCCCGCTTCCAATCTTTTATATTAACATTTTTAAAGTACTTTTTGTGTTCTACCCTTATATTTTGTAATATTTGCATAATCAAAATCTTTGCCATTTGATTAAATAGAAACAGTTTAAAATAAATTTTGTAATTAAATCATAATAAATTTGCAAATTAGAAATCAATATTTATTACATTTAACAAAATTTTCTAAAATCTCTCCCTCATTAAAAAAAAAATATATTCAACATGTTTATATGATCTTATTTGTTTTTATATTTATATTATTACATAAACATATGTATAATAATTTTTTTTTTTTTTTGCATATGTTGCAATTTGAATTTTTAGAAATGGATTTATATTACTCAAACGATACAAAAATGTATGTACTAAAGTATTATTGATAATTGTATAGCACGAGTCATGTGATGGAACGGGTTATAATTTACATAATTATGATTACAGATATTTTACGGGTTGTCTACTATAATATAACTCACAAAAATATTTTAATATGAAATTATATTATGTAAACAAATAATTTTGTCAGTATCATTTCATTATTTTAGATATTATACTTATTTAATTAAATTTTATCAAATTATGATTATATAAAAAATTATGATATAATATTATACTGGTTAAATCATAAAATTAACAATCAAAATATAGTAGTACACTCTTATATACCAAACAAAAATAAAAAAAAGAATACATTTTATAATGTCGTCTCGCGGTGTACCGCGGGTTAAAATCTAGTAGATACTTAAACCCGCTAGCAAATACGGGACAGTACCGTAGCCACAAACCCAAAAGAAGGAACGAAAGCTCAAAAGAGGGAATCAAAGTCACAAGTAAAAAGAAAAATAGATAAACATAGCCCTTATTCGACAAGAAAGAGACCTGCAAGATATATAAGGAACTCTGAACACTACAACTTTGCCACTAAAACCAAGCACTCCCATGGCCTACCCAAAGAACCAGAAGATGCAAATGTCGAGTCAAAAACCATTAACACCGAGCAGAACCATAAACAACATCACCTCCAAAAGATTAAGAAGTTCGATGAAAGAACTGATCCGAGCACAATCAGCCACGACACCAGCAGAAAGAACCACAAAACCGCACACATACACGAGCGAAGAGACTACAACAACTCAATCTAACCAAGGAAACTAAGCAGAAGAGAGTCAAAGAAGCCCAACAATTGTTGATTTCTTTAGTTACCTAAAGAGAAATTTTACATTTTGTTGTAATGTTAATTATATATATGTCTGTTTTGATCGATGTTAAAAAAGGTTAGGTGGTAGGTGGATGGTTACTCAACACTTCATACTTAGAATATTTGAAATCTAGAATATTTAGGTAATTTAGGCCTTTATTTATAAAATACTAGATAAGGGCCAGCAAAAAAACGCGGGTTAAAATTTATGTTTTTACGTATGAATTAAAAATATTGCATGTGTTAAAATTTGTAAAATCATAATATTAACAAAAAAATTAATCAATATTAATAAGTTAGTAAATATTTTTACTTTCAAATTTACTGTATATCTTAAACTTAATTAATTATTAAAAATATTTGATGGTAAAGTTCTTACAAATTAACATCAGTCAAAAAATAATTATCATCAAATTTTGTAATAATTAATTAGTTTAAGAAATACAATAAATTGCAAAGTAAAAAAATATGCGAGAATATTTTTTAACAAAACTGGAAGTTAGGAAATAACATTTTTAGGATAATGGTATAATCATGTTTAGGGTATAATATCTAAATTAAGTTTTCTGAAAATTTTGGTAATAGTAATATTATGAAATGGTGAATCGCTCATAATTCTTTGGTGATCGATAATTTAACATTACTAGATTTTTATAATGAATGTTTTTTAAATATGTATAATACATAAATAATCTTGCTCAACAAAAAAAAAATTTACTAACTTAAAAAATTATCATTTTTTGAATACTTTGGATATCACATTCTCACAATAAAATTTTAATTTTAATTTTATTTTGAAAATAAATAACCCGTCTAGACGGGCCCTAATCTATATTGTTAAAAAAATATTCAGTTAATATTTGATTAATTTTCTTTTAAAGTTATGATTTTCCAAATTTTAACACATGCAATATTTTTAATTCATACATGAAAACATAAATTTTTAACCCGCTTTTTTACGCGGACCCTTATCTAGTAATGAATAAAGATGAGAATGAAGAACGCTTAACAGGTCTACGGTTAACTGCTAATTGAGAAATTCATAGACTTGAGAAATTCAGATTTTGTAAAACTGAAAATTTTTTAAAATCATTTTGAGCTATTGACAATTTAAATGCATATACAAACTCTGAATCTTTAATTGATAGAGGAAAATAAAATAATTTTATATCTCATCATTTCAAGTAGTTCCAAAGCAAATAAGAATATAAGAAATAATATACATAATACAATTTATACCTTGAATTTATATCAAGAGTGAGATGGTTATAAATATCATATTCGACCACTTATATGTATCTATATCATATTATTTCAGCGAATACAATGACCACTTATATATATCATATCTATTTTTCTGTTACCAAAGTATTTTAATTATCTTTTAGTTTTATCTCATAACTATATGAAATGTGTAGAATGATAAATATATTACATTAAAAGTTTATCTTTTCATAAATCCAGAATTATCTTAACAAAAATATTAAACATTCAACAAAATATACAAAATAACATATTAGGTTGTTTTATGAATTATATGTAGCTTTAGTTATACTTATTCAAAGCTAATAATATTTATTTATTGGTATTCTTTCAAATATAATTATATATTTATATATATATATATATATATATATATATATATATTTGTATGTCTACTGGTATTATGTAAATATTTGATTTAGTTACTTTTGTTTCGTTTTGCGTTTTTCTTTTGAAGAAAAGAAATAATATACATATTTTAAGTTATAAAAATAGTTGATTTTTGTTCGTTAATAAACCTTACTCGGCCCAATAACAAAGTTTTGTGTAAATCTAAATTCGGGTAATAAAATTAATTTTGACGCGTTTTTAATTAATTTTTTTTGTCGGAAAATTGATATTTATTTATTTACTTGGTAGTTTATTTAGCAATTACTATTATTTACTTTTCCTTCAAAATAATGCCTTTTTTATAATAAAAAGACTCACTTAAAATCCTCGCCTACATATACATTACTTTCAAGAATATTTATAGATCATATTGATTATTAACTAACGTTTCCCTTTTTCATTAATCCCTCAATATTAAAATAAATCAAATCAAGTTGTGAAGTAAATCCCTTAAAATTCCCTTTCCATATTAATTTGCTTGGTACAATTTTATTTAGCAATTAGTATTATTTACTTCTTTTTTTTTGACCAAGTATTATTTACTTTTATTTCGAGATAATATACAAAAGAATGCCTTTAAATCCTTACCTATATGGCTATACATACTTTCAAGAATTCTTTTGTCCGCATAAAAAAATATAAAGAAAGATTATATTTCTCTCTGTTCGTCTCTGTCACGAAAGTACAAACTTGTCTTTGAATGTTGTCGATGTCGAATTCAGCAGCCACCAAAGAACCACCGCATAAAAAGAGGAAGATGTCTCCGTCTCCTTCGTCTTCATCTACGTTAACGTCTCTGCCAGATGATATGGTTATGAGCTGCTTGGCTCGAACGTCGAGATTAGACCTGGCGGCCTTGTCTCAAGTCTCCAAGAGCTATGGCACTCTAGTAACTTCCCCTGATCTCTATAGAACAAGATCGCTATTGAGTTGCATGGAGAATTGCCTCTATGTATGCCTTCTCACCCCACTAGACCCTATCCCACGTTGCTTCATCCTCCGCCGTGGTAACAAATCTGTGAATCGGCTTCTTTGCCCGATCCCGTCGTTGCCTTTTCAGGCTCCAGCAGCATCTTCCGTTGTGGCGGTTGATTGGGGAATATATGTAATCGGTGGTAATGTAAAGGGCAAGTGCTCTAAGGCTTTTGGAGTCTTGGATTGCCGTAGTAACAAATGGCACCGTCTCCCTTCAATGAGAGTAGGTCGCACTGCCGCGGCTGCTGGAGTAGTTTGCGGGAAGATATACGTGTTTGGAGGATGTCCAGACCTGAATTCTTCAAACTGGGCAGAGGTATTTGACACAAAGACTCAAACTTGGGATTCTTTGCCACTGCTGCAGGATCCGATGATACGGTGTCAGTATATACACAGCAGTGTTGTCTTGACGAATGAAAAGGAAAAGGCTTACGCAGTGTATGGAGTAGATACTACGTTCTACTACTCGCCTTATTGACCGTAGTTGAGGAATTGGGAATACTTGTTCAAGGAAAATGAAGAACAACAGAAGGGATTGGTGTTTTATTGGTAAATGCATCTACTCCATTGATCCTATAGGGAATTTGTGTTGGTGTGAACCAGGGCAGTTGGATTCTGAGCAAGGAGATTTGCTTTGGAAGTACGTAAAGGGTTTGGGCTCTGTGAATGAGAGTCTCTCTCGCTCCAGACTGGTCCATTTTGATAGCAGGTTCGAGGCTATGTGGGAGTCGCACAAGATCAAGATCGGGAAACACAAAAAGCTCGTAGATTTACTTCCCGGAGCCAGATTGAGCTACTCTGGTCCCAACATTGTGCTCTTCTGGGACGTCATTGAAGGGGATCGTTTTGACATGTGGTGTGCTGAGATTTCTTTGGAGCGACGCCAAGGACCGGAGGAGATGTGGGGCAACATTGAATGGTCTAACGTAGTCATGACCGTTGATCATTTCTTAGATCGCTACAAGGTTCTACATTCCGTTTGTGTCAGTCTCTGAAAGTTCTGGGTCGCCAAGAGCAATCAGAGTTTACGAAACATATGTGTAAATCTTGTTTTATATCATTAGTATTTATGTTACAGCAGTAAATACAAGGGTGTGTTGGAGAAATAGTACATTTTTAAAAAATAATTATAAAACTAGTACAAACACTATTTACAATTAGGAAAGTAGTACATTATCACTATTTGCTACTATTTCATGGACATTTAAACACTCAGAAAAACATAGTATTTACGAGTCTGCCATTAAAATAATTATATAATATAATTCGTACATCATATTTATTGTACATACGTACAAAATTATGTTTCTGTACAATAATAATATTATTACATAATATCATGCGTACATCATATTAGTGTACAAATATAAATAAATATGCATATTTTGGTATACTATACTAGCTGTACGGATAAAAATGAGTAATTTTTTACATATATTCGTACAATTAATAAGCTGTACGGATACGTCTGTACATATTTATGTATGGATATTTTTGTACATACGTCTGTACACATACTAAATTGTACAAAAAACATTTGTACATATGCTAAACTGTACAAATAAATATTTATATATAAAAAATTAAAATTTATTAGCAAAAGGCATATTAAATTATAGAGAAAAAAACAAAGATTTTTATGTGTCAAAAATATTATTGATATTATTTTTACAAAAATTAGTATGTTAGTTATAAAAATTTTGGGGTGATAAAAATAAGAGAAAAAAATGAAAAAGAAAAGAAAAAAAAAACAAAATCCAGAGAAAAAAAAATTGCCTCTCATGTCATTTTATTTTCTCTCTTTTTTTCCTATCTCATGTTTTCTTCTATCTAACATTGTAGGTCCATATGACTATTTTTACAATTATAAATAGTATATGTACTACTTTCCCAATTATTTTTTGAAAATGTACTATAATTCCTATTAATCCTAAATACAATAAGTTGTGTTCTGTCATTTGTTTTTTGCCGTGAAGTCTCATCCGTGTTTAAATATCTTGCCAACTTGTTTGTTTAATACGTGTGTAAAAGTTTGATTTTCCCAACTTGTTTGATTTCTACAGACTCAGGCCATGAATGTTTGCAAGTTTTTTGGTGGTTTTTGAATTATAGTTTTTGGTTTTTGGATTTTAGTTTTTAGTTTTTGTGTTAATTTTTTTTTAAAAAATGAAAAATGGAAAAAAAAAATTAAGGCCTTGAATGGCAATAGTTTTTAGATTAGTTTTTGGTTTTTGATTCTAAAAAACCAAAAAAAATTGCCATTCACGATTTTACTAAAAGTGATTTCCTTAAATTTATGGAAACTAGTTTTTATCAGATTTTAACAATTCCTTCGTAGAATCTAAAACCCATTTCTTTCAGCTTTCTAACAATATTATGTGACATTTTCTTATTGATTATTAACTTTTTTTTTTTCATATAAAACCAAAAACTAAACAAATTACCATTCAAGATTTTGCAAAAACTAAAATCTACAGTATAAATCAAAAACTAAAAAACTAAAAACCAAAAGCCAAAAACCAAAAACAAAAGCTAAAACTCATTTAAAAACTACAAAACATTCATGGCCTAAGTCACGTTAAACAAATGAAAAACTCATAAATATGGATTTTAGATTTTCTTTACAAATTGACAAAAACCATCAAATCTAGATTCCCTATATTTTAGGAAAACCATTTTGCTCATAATCTTGATTGGCAATAAAGTAGATTTTCTTAAAAACTAAAACTAAAATCAAGTTCAAAATCTACAGCCATTCAAGGCCTCATCGTTTCTAAATGTAACATCTAACTGTGGTTGACTCCCACATAACTAGATCTTAACTGTTTCTACATGTGGTTCAATCAAGAACTCTAGAAGTTAGGAAATAACATTTTAAAGATATTGGTATAATCATATTATGGTATAATATCTAAATTAAGTTTTTTGAAAAATTTGGTAATAGTAATATTATGAAAAATAGTGAATAGCTCACAATTTTTTTGGTGATAGATAATTTAACATTACTAGATTTTTATAATAAATGTCTAATAATGATATTTAAATATGTATGTACATAAATAATTTTGTTCAACAAAAAACAATTTACTAACTTTAAAAATTATCTTTTTTTAATACTTTGGATATAACATTCTTACAATAAAATTTTAATTTTAATATTATTGTTAGAATAAATAACCCTAGACGGATCCTAATCTATATTAGAAAATATGGTATTCAATTAATTTTTTTTTGTTAATGTTATGTTTTTCTAAATTTTAACACATGCAATATTTTTAGTTCATACCTAAAAACATAAATTTTAACCCGCGTTTTTACGCGGGCTCTTATCTAGTATTTTATATATTTTTAAAAATACTGTAATCTATCTACGTCTAAGATTTTTAATTTACTTAAGAGCAGCTCCATCAGTCTCATACGATGTGGGTATGTGAAATATAGTACCATAGTGACTTGGCTTTGGGGTGGTTTTTGCTCCGTCCCCCTTCTTGACAAAAGTACCTCGCCCGAAGCTATCCGACAACAACATTAATCAATTTATAATATATTAATTATAAATTTAAATTTTAACTAATAAAAGAAAAAAAATGAACCAATCATGTCATGCTATATTTCAAAAACCCACTGTTATCCGTTTCTGCTTTTCTCTCTTCTTCTCTTCTATTTTATATTTTTATATTTTAATGACAGAAACCTAGCCTCATACCAATTGATAGAGCTGCTCTAAAACTCTTCTTATTACATTTTTCAAAATCTGATTGACAAATTCTGTCACCCAAAACGACCACTCCTTCTGTCGGATAAAGGACTTGCCCTATATTGAAATGAAATCGAAACGAATGGAACGCGACAGAGCACTCCCTATCATCACATGAGCACCAACCCACCCATCAACCCCCCCCCCAAAACCCCAAACCTACTTACTTCTACTCTTCTCCTCT